AATAAAAGGTCCGCCATAATCTACCCCACAAACCTTGAATGGATAACCAGCATCAAATCGAGTTTTCGGCAAATTACCCATAATAGGATTTGTGTTCCTCGCATTAAATCTGAAGCAAGTCACACACTGTCTAACTGTTAATTTAGCAAGATTTCTTCCTGATACCGGCCAAATGGACTGACGTAAAGAACTAAGCAAAAGTTGTGGGCCGGCATGCATCAATTTTAGATGTTCTGATTTAAAAATTAATTTTGTTAACGGATGGTGTGCCGATACGATAATGGGATGTTTCTTGTCATACGAATAATCTGAATTTGTTAAACGACCACCAACTCTTAATAAACCTTCCTGATCGATAAAAGGATTAAGATTAAGAATTTTGCTTTTAGTATTGATTTCTTGTTTATTTAATAAGTTGTTTATCTCTGCTGTATATGACTCGCTTTGTGACATTTTTAGCAGAAGCTTGTACGCCTTTCTTAATTCTTCAGTATTAAGAGGACTATTTGTTCGCTTAGAATTAGAATCTTTATTTGAGATAATTGAAATGAATCGTAGAACAAATGCTACTGTTCTAATTAGCTTGCTCAATGAAGAGAAGCGACGTATATCTACTACTGGTTCCAACGCACGTATTAATAATGTATTTGAGGCACACTTTAGTTCAGGCAAGTTCTCTGAACACTTTACCCCTTGAGGCCAATCGCATTCGGATTTGTTTAACCAACTTGGACCAGACCACCACAAATTAGATACTTGCAACTCATATGGACTGATACCGCGCGACACTAAATCTGCGGGATTGTCCTTTGAGGAAACATGCCGCCAATCACAAGAACTAGTTAAAGTTTGTACTTCGGCAACTCTATTAGAGGTGAACGTTTTTAATCGGTGTGGTTCCGTTTTCAACCAACCTAGCACGATTGTGGAATCTGTCCATAAGGTAACGCTTTCAAATATTGTGTTGTTAAGTGCATCCTTAACAATTGTAAATAATTTGGCTAAAACAACAGCTGCGCATAACTCGAGTTTGGGAATCGTAATAGTTTTCAACGGACTTACTTTAGATTTTGCGCATAGAAGCCTAACCGAAACCTGATTATTTCGAGTAATAGAACGTAGGTAGATGCATGCTCCATACGCGTGTTCGGAAGCATCCGAGAAACCATGTAATTGAATTGATTGTGCATTTGGTAATATTACGTGACGTGGAATAATTAATGAATTAAGTTTGGGAATCTCGGATTTGATCTTAAGCCATTCACCATGTAACGGCTGAGGAACTGATTCATCCCAACTTAATCGCTCTAGCCAAAGCCTTTGAAGTATAATCTTCGTTTTAATAATACAAGGCGCTAAAAGGCCTAGTGGATCAAATATTTGACCAACAGCCGAAAGAATGATTCTTTTAGTTACACGACCGTCTATAGCATTTGGTTCAATTTTAAACGTCAAAGAATCAGAATCGCATGACCAACCGAGGCCTAATGTTTTTGTGTTTTGATCTTCACTGAATTGAACCGTTTTCTGTGAAGGTACATCGCCCTTTATTAGTTTAAGTATCGTATCGCTATTTGAGTGCCATTTTCGCAATTTAAAGCACCCTTCAGATAAAATTTTTGAAATACCCAAGCCTAAACTCACTGCTTCTTGAATAGAATCAGCACCCGTAATTAAATCGTCTACGTATATGTCGCTTTTAATTATTTGAGATAACTCTGGTCTATTTCTTTCACAATTTAGGGCTAGCTCCATGATACAACGAATTGCTAGAAAAGGCGCTGAAGCAGTACCATACGTAACCGTGTTTAATTCGTATATTTCTAATTCCTCGTTGGGATTACTACGCCAAAATATTCGTTGCAACGATCGCTCTTTCGGATTAATCATTACTTGCCTATACATTTTCTCGATGTCGGCTGTTATCACGAATGCATGAATTCGAAATCTTAAGAGTATTGACAAAAGACTACTTTGTATTGTTGGGCCTACCATTTGTAGGTCATTAAGTGATAAACCTGTGGATGTGGCAGCGGAAGCATCGAAGACAACGCGAAGCTTTGTAGTAACAGATTCCTCTCGAAGTACTCCATGGTGTGGCAAGTAATAGTAAATCGCATTTGTATTTAATTTATTTACTTTGGTCATATGACCTAACGCTTTGTATTCATTCATAAAATCAACATATTTTTCACGTAAATCTGAATTATGCTTAAGTTTTCGTTCTAATGATAAAAATCGCCTTCGCGCTTGTTCTTCCGAATCGCCTAATTCATCTGTACTCGTTTTAAACGGAATAGATACTACGAATCTACCCGTTTCTATATCGCGTTTCGTATTTTCAATAAAATGTTGTTCGCATGACGCTTCTTCTTCGGATATTGCCGGTTTTACACCGCATTCTTCTAATAACCAGAATTTCTCTAGTTGTTTTTGAATATCACCATTTAAAGACAGATTGCAGTGAGATACATTCGTATTTTCTGTAATGTTTCCAGAAATTATCCATCCAAAAGAAGTTTTTTGTAATACTGGCTGATCTGATCCTAGACGTATTTGTCCAATTTGCATCAGTTTCCAAAATAAATTTGCTCCAATTAGTAAGTCTATGGGACCTGGTTTGTAGAAATCTGGATCAGCAAGGATTATATTTTTTGGAATATTTAACCTGTTGATATTAACAACAGTAGTTGGTTGGATTCCAGTAATTTCGTTTATAATAAGACATGATAATTTTACAGAATATGCACTATGTAGCGACTCCACAGAAATTTCGCATTTTTTGTTAATCTGGGATTTGCTACTATTAAGACCTACCACGGCCATATTGATATTTTCTGTTTCGAGATTAAGTATATCGCATAAATTTGATGAAATAAAACTAGATTGGGAACCTGAATCTAGCAACGCGCGTACGGTGTGAGATTTATTGAATTTATCAATTACTTGTACCAAAGCTGTGGCAAGTAAAACGTTTTCCTGAGTAATATTTGAACAAGTTAGAGATACATTTGAGTTCTCCGTTGTATTATTTTCGCGTCTATTGTATTCGTTATTTTGTATATGTAATATCGTATTGTGTCTACCGTTACATTTTCTGCAGTTGCTTAGTCTGCAAACCGTATTTATGTGACCAGGTCGTAAACAATTTATACATAATCTAAGTCTTTTCGCATGCGTATTTCTTTCTGCTGGGGAAAGTTTAAGAAATTCTGCACAGTTTCGAATATAATGATTTTGTTTGCAGAAAGCACAAGTCATGTTATTTCCCGAACGATCAGCTGTATTATTGTTCCTTGAAGAAACATTTTCCGTATTGACAAACGATTGAGATATTCTGGATTGTTTTTTATGAAAAGAAGAGGTATTTCCTGAGGATGTATCGCGTTTAGATTCTATTGTTTCCAGCAAATCAGCCTTTGATTTTAAAAATGTTTTTAAATCTCGCACTGTTGGATATTGCATTTTCGATCTAAATTCTTCCCATTCTCGCGCTGTTTTATTATCAAACTTAGAAGTTACTACGTAAATTATTAAAGTATCCCAATGCTCGGTGGGTTGGTTTAATTGCTTTAATGCTTTTAAGTGTTTTGAAATAGAATCTATCAAAAACCGTAATATTTTTGAAGACTCACATGTTTTAATATCTAAATTAAATAATGCTTTTACATGATTATGAACAAGAAGTCTTTCATTATTATATCGCTCACAAAGCAAATTCCACGCTACAATGTAATTTGCCTCGCTAAATTCAATTGATGCTATTACCTCGGACGCGCAAGCTGAAAGTGAAGATTTAAGATAATGAAACTTTTGAAAATTCCGTAGTGCACTGTTTGTATGTATTAATGAGCTAAAAGTCTCGTGAAATTCCAACCAATCTTCATGATTACCACTAAATTTCGGTACCTCAACTGGCGGAAGACGAAACCCATTAAAATCGTTTACTTGACTACCCGATGCATTTTCCGAGTATGAACTGTTGTTTGATAAATCTGTACTATGCCGAGAAAGTTTAGATTGTAATCGCTTACTTCGGGCCAATTCGCAATAAAAAGATTTCGTAAATTCCTCGCGTTCGGTATAACAACTTTCTAATTCGTCCTCATCAACTAAATCCTCTAACTCTAACTGCGATTCCTCGTAATTTTGTATTATTTTATTCGCTTCTTCGATACGTAAATTTAAATTATGAATTGCGTCCTCTAAAATATGAATTTCAGAGCCTGTTTCCGTTTCCAAATCATTTAAAAAGTTTTTAAAATGGGTTAATTTGGCCTTTACTGCACCCCGTTTTCGTTTTACAATTTTTAATTTCTCTTCAGTATTCATATTTATTTAAGTTATAATAAAATTATTATTAAATTACTACAAATTAAGAAACGAGAAATAAATTCGTATAAATTCTTTCGAAGAATAAATCAAAACAGTATTCACACAAACAGAAATAATTTTATTTTTTGGAGGAATAAATTCGGTAAAGAAAGGATTTTCGTACTCACTGTTTGAATTGTAGGCAACGCCGCTAGCAGCCTTCCTGGCGTCAGGTACACACACAGCGTGGCTTGGTTTTTGGATGATCTGCTCGTCGTAGGTACGCGTGCACTTAAGAATATTGGAACTGGAACTGTCTGTTTTCGCGTATGAAATCACTTCGAATTTAACGTTTATTGTTTATTTAAGCCGATCACTGTTATTCGGTCGATGGACCATTATATGTATATGAATAAGTGGACTGTATATTTTCTCATTTGGTCGAATTAAAACGCATTTACGCTTTCGTATAACGTTTATTTATTTGAATTTTACAATGTGAATTGAATGTGTCTTCACACCACGGCGGTCGGTGAAGCTCTCTTCGCCTCTCGAATTGAAGCCGGTACCTCGGCACATCGGGTTGAAAAGCTGCGTTGCCGATGTTCGCAGTCTCTAACAACTTTATTAATCCTAGTATCAGTGATATTGAAATTATAATAATGATTTTATCTGTTTTTTTTTAGATGGAACCCTTAAACCAAATTTAGGCTGTAGCAAATTAAGAGGATCAGAAATTAGCCTCCGTGGAGAAATGCCTCAAGCGCAGCAAGTGCAACCTAGAACCAAAGTCAAAACTAACGGCTATTTTAACTTACTCTCACAAGTAAGTATTTTAAATATAGTCATAAAATATTGTCATTTATACAAATATCCGGTAAAATAGAAAAATACAAGAATATTTCTAAAACAAAATAATAAAAAGTTCAGTTTGTAGTTCTTTAATAAAAAATTAAAATAGTTCTGAAACTATTTCCTTCCGTTCTGAAACTAATCTTTATGTTTTAAACCATTTTTAATGAAAATTAACCGTTAATTTCAATTGAAAATACGTTGTAACCTCGGAAATCTTTTTTGGGTGGTGCTAGAAAGATAACCAATGGAGACACTGCGGACGGCAGCCAGATGGTTGGTGGAGAGCGAGTCGTGGGTTCGAAACTAGCTTTTGGAACCGGGAATGGATCCAACGGAAGAAATAGGTAAAGATAGGATAAGAGATATTAGAAAAGATACAGAAATAAACAAAAAGATAGATGGGTAAAATTACCAAAGATAAGAGAAGATAGAAACAGGGCGCCACTCAATTTTTTGGGGTTAAGGAGAAAATTAAGAAAACCTTAGAAAAGAAAAGAGATAAGAAAAGATATTTAGGTTCAGAGATCAAACCCAAGGAAAGATACCAACAGTAAATTATCAAATAAATCTGGTCAACGCAATATATAAACAAATAATAAATATATTAAGTATTACACTTACTTACCTACGAAACTTAATCAGCCTGATCTTTCTACAGTTCAAAAGCATAGTAATATTTAAAGATAGTAATTGTTCAGAGCTATTATTTTATCAGGGAACTTGTTAGGAGCCGACAAATAAAATACATGCATAAAACAATAACAATATATTAAACACAAAATTATGATGCTGCTAAATGCAACCCAGGTAATAAAAATACACAACTATGAAATGGTGTTATATATGTATAAAATTAAGCAATAATGTAATAAAAAAATACCTTTACCAAGATATATAAGGCAATCATATACAAATATAGTTTGGCGTATCTCGAGATATCATAGGAAAGATAATGAACAAAAATTATAGGAAATACAAAAGATAGCAAAAATTACTTAACTCTAAATTTACAAAAAAAAAACAAAAAGGTTACAGGAATGAAAACATAAACCAAACCGCACTTGGTTAAGTCAATTAACTATCTCGCACTATTATTTAATAAAAAACTGAGACTTGTATGTTCATAGGTAATATTTATAGAAATTTCTTGAATGGTTCAATTACATTCAAAAATCGGCAATCTACAGGTGAAGATATAGATGATACGTCCAGATAATGGCAGGTGATATGGTACCATACCATATTACTCGCCCAGATAATTGTAGATAAAGATTACTTACAGTAGATCTTGACGAAGGCAGCTTAATTCACTGAATTTAATACTTTTCTGGTACTAAACACTGAATTTAATAACCATTAAAGGTAGTGTAGAACTATATATAATTTAATATAGTCTAAGGAAAGAAAACTCAAATATAAAGTGTATACACACTTAGAAAATAATTCACAAAGACGATACGATAAGAAATAAAGTGAGCAAAGCGTAACACGAGATATTGGCCTTAACTCAACAACGGCCCACCAAAAGTCTCACGAGATATTACCTCACTCAACAACTGCCCACCAACAAGTAAATTGGTTCCACTAAAAATTTCACCAACTGTCCCTGAAAAAGGAAGAAGAAAATATTCCCCCACTCAAGAATGATAGGACAGTTGTATGTGTTTCTCAGAAGGTAAGGCCTTAACGACTATTGGAAAGTTTGAGGTAAAATAATCGGTATTAACAATTGGACATAAGAAACAGACAATACTTGGGATTAAGTTATTGTCAAAAGATATGGGCCTTCGACGAAAATTACCAATTTATGAAAAGGAAACTGCATACCGGAAAGCATTTGTTCTTTTCATACAGAGTATTAAGACGGAAGGATTAAAAACCTTTCTTAATTAGGGAATTCCATTTTAGCTTGGTATCTACAATATTATTTTCCTATCGTAAACACGGGGATTCCTAATCATCGGCGTATCGCACGGGGTAAAAGGAATTAAAAATAATTTGATATATTAATAATAAAAAAAATGTTACAACGTTTATTTTGATTTCTACTTCGGAAATCGTCCTCAAAATATAAGTTCATCCCTGGTATACACCGAAAAAATATTTACAATGTCGTTTTAGTAAAGTCCTTTGCTGTAAAATGTACTTTTAAAGTAAAGCAAGTAAAACTTTTACTGATATTTTTTACAATACACAGTTTTAAAGTACAGAAAATAAGCTCTCTTTTTATTTCATAAAGCATATACCTAAATGTACAAGAAAAAAAGTTATAATGACAAATTTAAAAAATTGCCGTAAAATTTAGCAAACAATCATTAAAAATAGAAAATTTTGAAGAATCTTGCTTAAAGTTAGTCCTAGAACCTTCTAAAATATACCGTTCTAAAGGTACTTGTTTTTTTCTATTAAATATACCATTGAATATACCTAAACTACGTAAACAAAGTTATAGAACAATGTTTTCAAAATAAATAGGGAATATAGCTCAGAAATATGTTGTGAGTGGCGAACTTTGAAAAATCCTTAGATTAACGAACTCGGTTCGTACTAGAAAATCGTACCTCGGTACTATGAATTCTAAGCTACCGAAACGTCATTTTGAAGAGGAAGGATAAAAGTTTTTTCCCTGTGGAAAAAAAATATGGGACAAAAAAGAAAAATCACGTTTTATGTGTGTTCTTTGCTTCGTTTTTGAATATATTTTTGTAAAAAAAATTTTTTCACATTAAAAGGTGACATTTCGATAGAAATTTAATTTGAAGAACTTTTACGTAGATCTATATGTATGAAAAGTCACAGAATTCACCTAAATGCACCTTAGTGCATAGGGACTAATTCACCCCGTTCTCAAAAACGCACCCCTTTAAATGATAGTACTCCACGGTTTTATTATATTTGGAGGTCCATTGACCTTAGGAATCAATAAAACTTTAACGTTGTAGTTCCTTTCAAAAGTACATAATAAATAGCCTATAATAGGCATTCCTCCTATTACAAAGTTGCCTAAAAGTATAACAGATATATATTATATTGTCAATACCTCTCCTAATACTAATTCATTTTTTTTTAACAGAGTCGCACTGATCTGTTGACATCCAGTGTAGAAGTAGGCCATCCAGAAAAGCTGCCAAAGACTCGTCCCTCGAATTTGCGTCACCGAGCTCCCGAACAGAATATTATGACTCAAAGCTGCCCCACTCCTCCTCAAGCCAGAAAAAAATTCTATCTCGGAGCGAAGGGATTAAAAAGTCCATTATTGAGTAGGGGAGTTAGGCAAGAACCAGCTCTATCAGGTAAAGGTCTCATTTTTTAATTAGATAATGTTATTATATTATTTAAGATAGATTTAATTTAATTTATTTTAATTTTTCATTTGTATTTATCAACAATAACTATCAAACTACTTATTTGATTGTTAAAAGTGTGGGTATAGGGAGCTTCGGCAAGAAGTTGTGGGAGCATTCAAGACTTACAAGTATTTTTTTGTTTGTCAAAATATTTAAGATGATGAGTGAATAAAAGAACAAATTAAAAATAAAGGATTTACATGAATATGATCTCAATTGATTTATCATTATGAGGATTTGCTGCTAATTCTAGTATGTTATATGTATACTCCTATCAATAAATATTTTTCATTACCCTATTTCAGAGATATCACTCCGGGGTTAACAAGGATTCTAAAAAGTTTTGAAAATAGCTTTTCTAATAATAATAATAACATTAAACTTAATGTGGCTTGTAGATCAGCCCTAACAATTAATAATCTTTATTCGAAGATAAAAGATAAGACTCCCATAGATAGGCTTAGTAATATTGTCTACAACATTCCATGTCTCTCTTGCAACAATTCCTACATCGGCCAAACATCTCAATTATTGAAATCACGTATTACACTACACAAAAGTGATTCTCGACTTCACCCTGACCGCTGTGCATTAGCCAAACATGTCCATTCCACTGGTCATCACATGGACTATACGAACACTACAATTCTCCACCGTGAGAGCAATAAATCTAAAAGAGAGTTCATTGAAATGTCTTATATTTTCCTTAACGATTTTTCCATCAATGTTAAGAGTGACATTAAGAATCTAAGCGATATATACCACTTCTTACTTAAATCAGATACCAAGAACAATACAACATCACAGATAACCAACTTGACTGATATATCTATTAACAACTAACCTACTTTAATAATAATTTTCATTAACAAAAAAAGATAACATTCCCTTGCTTTTCTTAGATACATCTCAATAAGATATTATTACAATAATACATGAACAATTTACTAATTAAAAATAAAAGAATTTCAATTAGAAATTCTAAACTAATATCTCCCCAGACGGAGATCTAACTTCATCGGTTTTACCAATGAACCTTAACGACATTCATATCAAAAGAACTACTTGTAATTGTTTCGGCGCTTGCGTTCTATGAAAACAGAAGCTCACATTCAAACTTTACAACAATTAAAAATTTAGTTATTGCCGACAATTCAAAGAATTACTTCCTTTAAATGTAGTTACATTGGGTTTTTCGATTGTCCTTGGGTAAACCTTTGCGTTTTAAGTTCAAAGCTACCATACATTTCCAACGTTCACAAATAAACTTTTTTGCACATAGTAACAAAAAAACACCACTATGTTGTTACTAGCTAAAGTTTTTTAACATCATAACTTGACATTTCTAAAATTTCACGGTAAGGTAAATGTTTTTTATTAGATAATATATGGTAGCTAATTATAATTTATTCTCTTTCAGCCCTGAAGAAGCCAAATTCTCTTTGGCGAAAACGTTAGGTGAAATAATTGATACACATTAGAGTTTTTTTTGCGTCCATATTGTTACTATAGTATATAAAATATATTGTTATAGTAGTCTTAAAAATATGCTATGGCAGTAGGGACAACAGTATGTACTTAAATTTGCTCTCAGAAAATAAAAAAAGATCAAATGAGTACCTAACCAAAAAGAAGACTGAAAGAATTATAAAAACGTATGAGGGCTACTACAAGTTATATTTTTAGCAGTATCAGTAATATAATCTCAGTAGAAAATTAAACATTAATAGTCAAATGGAACTTAAAGGAAAGGTTTGAAGTTGTGAGTAGTGCAGAACTATTTAGAGGAGCAGTCAACAGGGACCGCATAGCCAAAATGATTTCCAACCTTCGATAGAAGATGGAACTTAAAGAAGAAGAAGAATATTAAACAATAAGTCGATTTTAGAAAGGGAACGTCATGCAAATCAAATATTTCAGTCAAAATATTATTACAGCAATATATCGAAAGAAAAGCAGCATTAACTTTATAGCCTATAGAAACTGTTGACCTACACATAACGACAGAAGTCTATAAAAATATAAATACAAAATAAAATGATTTTTAAAGAGAAATATATATTTACGGAAAGACTACTGTAAATTAAGTACTTGTCCGTACTTAATTTACAGTAGTCCAAAGGTTTTTAATTTATTAAACTATATGAATATGGTAGATTATACGCAAAATACAAGTGCCTCATCTAAAAGTTTTCAAGTTGTTTTGTTAACATATATGACAAATTAATAATGCGTAAGACTACTGTCGTATGTTGTTATCAATGTTGACGGAAGAAATATCTACAATCTTAGATTCACAGATAATAGAACTATACTCACAAATTATGAAGTTAACGAAGTCAATTAGTAGAAAGCCAACATATGTACCTGGAATTCAGATTAAGTAATATCGACAGATACACCGAAAAAACAAAATAAGGGCGATAATAACCGTAGACTACATAATGAGATATTTGGTCTTTACTGCCTTTACATATGCATCAACTTATTGAAAACGTAAGAAATTTTCAGTTTTGAAACTATTTTCTTGTGTTTTTTTATATTAACTATTAAATTTTATGGATAACCAAAGCACTGAACTGCAAAGAAGAATCGCTTTACCATGGGCCGCATATGGAGCTCTATCAGACATCTTCAAGAGCAACATGCCAAATTATTTGAAAAGAAGACGTTGGACCAATATGTAGCCATGACTTACGGAGCCGAAACCGTTTCCTTGACCCAAGCTACAGCATCCAAACTCAGAATAATCCAAAGAAGAATGGAACGGCCATTACTTGGACTGACTCTCAGAGACAGGTTAGAAACGAAGAAATAAGGAGAAGGACATGCGTCACAGATGTCATAGAACCGCATAACATGACTGAAGTCGAACTGGGAGGGCCATCTGGCCAGAACGAATGGGCGATGGATCAAAAAAATTACAGTTTGGAGACCATGAGCAGACAGGGGAAGCAGAAGTAAACGACCTACACGATGGACAGACGATGTCAAAAGAATCGCCGTGAACTGGTCACAGGAGGCTCTAGCCCAACAGAACTTGTAGAAATAAGGGAAGGTCTATGTTTAACTATGGACGCAGAAGGCTAGATGATGATGATACACGATAGCAAAATTATCCAAAAATGAACAAGAATACTAGCTTAACCTTTTCAATTCTACTTTTGTTACTTAAATAAACGGAGTCAAAATCCTAATTTCTGAGCTTTTTGTATGTAATTAAGTTACGCATAGAGGTTTGTATAAGTTTTTTTTCTTAATTTTAACATTGACATATGGGACATATGTATCCCATTAGTATTGTTAAGTGGGACTTATATTTTTCAGTGGTAGCCTATGAAGAAAAGGTCCAAGTGTTCTTAAACATTTATGTAACATAATTTTACAGTTTTATGTGTGGTATATTTTACAGTTTTATGTGTGGTATGGCGTAAAGCAATTTCTGCAACGTAGACGTGTTCCACCATCGACTTGCATATGTTCTCATACATTTATCGTGCTTTTTGTCCTCTTGGAGGCCTTCCCTCGACTTATTCTTATGTGAACTTTTAACGTAGCCTTTCCAAACTGACGTTTGGAACAGCTCTTCAGTTAGAGCTATTAAAAATTCAAAAAATGTATTTTTTCCGTTAAAGATCATTGTAGATTACCCAACTGTGTACAGCAGCAACCATAACCAGTACTTTTTTCCACCATTTTCCATCCATGTCATATAAACTTGCCATTTGATCCGCTAAATCCTACTCCTCCCATAAGATCCTCCTTCTACCTTCTACAGATAGAAATGGAATGTGTTTCATGAACTTCACTGGGGAAATATATGTCAAAGCATAGTACTACGTCTTTAGACTTTATTGTACAAGCTAATTTATTTATGCACGACTCTCTCTCCAAGCGTTCCATTAACTTGTCCATCTTCTTTCCCAGCATATGCATTTATGTCATAGGTGTACCCAGTGAAAGCGTCAGTTTTTATCCATATTTTAATGCCTCTTTTGACAGGCTTCATCGATAAGTACGTATTAACGCAAAATGCCCTTTAAATTTTACCATGCTTTCATTAATACTCTGCCTAGAAAAATCATTTTTGAAAAGTATGCTTCAAACAGTTTTCAAGTTTGTCTATTTAAATACTATTTTTAATTAGTATGTTACCAACGGATGTACGGGTTGACCAATAGTGTCAAAGTGCTGGCAATCTGTTGTAACTGATAACAAAAGCTCAACCCAAAATTATTGCAATCTTCCCTATATTGTTTTTAGCAATTGTTTTCTTTTTTGTTTTTCATAAATTTTCTCTTATTAGTGGATTCGGAAATACAAAATAAACAAACTGGGAGGAAATATGTTTTTAATACCTGTCGATTTCAAAGCTCTTTTTGCCTCGTTATCCACCTCACAGATGTTTATTGGAGGAATCAGGAATCTTGGTAGAAAGTTGTCGGTTAGGATAGACCATATTATATTTTCCTCTTTGTTGCCTCGATCCTGACTTGTTATCGGCACCGGCACTTATTATCTGCGAAATCTTCAGCTTCATTTCCAGAAAGTTGTTCATCATCGCAGTTGACTTCTTCGTCTTCTTGATCATCCGAGTCATAAGATGTTGTCTCTGTCTTATAGTTTTTGTAGCTGTCGCCATCAGTTGTAAAAGGGTACGGCTCACTTTCAATGTCTGAAAGGTTATCGGCTAAAGATTGAAGTTGCTTTTCAGAAAGCCCTCTTTTCGACATACTACAAAGAAAACCAATGGGTTATATATGTCCCACTTAAAAATACAGTGGGACACTATTGTCCCACTAGAGTTATTCCCAAAAAATCGTGAATATTTCTAGCAAAATACTCTACTATATAAGAATATGGCGCATCACTGATATAAATGCAGAAAAATATTCACTTACTGTTTAAAAATGTCGATGAAAATAGTAAAAATCGAACATAAACGCATTAAAACGTCGAGCACGTGTGAAAATAAATCTGTAACTAACGCCGGAGGTCCCCGAGTGTAGTCAATTCAGTTCTATTTTCTTGCTTTTGCACTTAGAATACCACTAAAGCAAAACTACGTTTAAATCCGGACGCATTTGAGCCAGTAAAAATTTTTACACTTTGAGTGGTACATATTTATCCCGATGAGACATAACCGGGTTACGCAACCTACTTAATAATTGGTACAACTTCTCTATACATTTACAAATGTCGACTGAATATCTTCGAAAAATGATAAACAATAAAGAACTAAAGAAGGAAACATATTAAATAAAACCCAATTTAACAATCAATAATAATGACAAAAAATCTAAGATAAGTACAAACTACAATATGAAGGAAGGGTGTAATGAAGTAAGAAATACCGAAAAAACTTTGGTGAAGCTCCATGCCCCGCAGAATTGATATATTTTGATCTGATAGTTGAATAACTTACATATTACTAGTTTTTCTTTTAGATTTCATGGTAAAATTAAGTTTCGGATATTGTAAATAATATTTTGTAGTATTTAAATTATCTTATTTAATTCGGAACCATGTACCATGTACCTAACAGTAATCATTTCTGCAGCTGCCATGACATCTTCAACAACATCTACCGAGAGCAAACATTGGCCAAGTGTTATTTTAGGAAAAATCCGATCACTTTGGCACGCCGGTTCCAAGAGTGCGAATATAGGCCTTAATCAACTTTCAAGAGGCAGGATTCATAATTCTTGGCTTGCTTGATTTGTTTTTTTTTTGTTGTTGTTTTCTGTAGTTAGCATGCTGATTTTTTTGCAGTATAATTATCACAGCACCAGTTTTTTTGTATTTTTCATTTAAAAATTTTTAAGATACTTATAGTTGTAGTTTTATGAAGAGGAAAAAATAATATCAAAGAGATGCCAAAATATTTGTACCTATTTATATCAAGAGTTCCAATATACAGCTTAGTAGGTTACTGATGTTATTTTAAAGATATTTACTAGTCAAATTCGTGGATACCCTCAAACTGTGTACTATTCTATAAGTAAAGAATACTCGCTCTTTCGATAAGATAATGTTTAAAAACTAACATTGATATCATAACTTACGGTCTAAAATGACATGGTTTGGGTAAAACTACATATCGACCTTTTTTTACTTTAACCTTGTGATAATGTTTTACTAGATTACTAAACACTATTGACCATGTGAAAAGCTAGGTACTTAATAAAATATTGTAAAAGGTATCATGAGATGGATGGAGGTGTCAAAAAATATGGAGTGCAACCTTAATGGTGTAATGTTTTCCATTACACCATTTTATTTTCCTAATAAAATATATATTTTTTTGTATTCAAAAGAAAACAACAAACCAAAGAATCCATTAGACTTTAAATTAATGCTTATAGACACATAATCAAAGGTTTGGACATACAGGCTCAAATGATTGTGTTGCAGAAGGCTCGAGTTCAATCGTGACGTTGGCAAAACAACACTAGATATTTTTAAAATATCTAAAGACTCCTTGTCAACTTAGCTCGAATAAAATGAGTATCTTAGGTAAAACCATTAGTTACTTCTCTTGTATTAAGTAGGCCAAAGAAATAGCATACCTTGGTATACTCTTCTAAACTTCACGAGTGGTATAAAGTATAAAGACTATTTTTTTCCTGTTATTTCAGCCTACCAAGGACCACGAAACTTTTTTCATCTTTCTCATGAGTTTTCCTCCTCTGCCAGTAGGTTTCAATTTTAATGGAATGTTCCTCTTTCCTTTCTTGTGGCCACTTGCTAGCGGGACGAGGAGCTGGGCTAGTGGGAGGGATAATGTTCTTAGTAGTAGATTTTAGTTTAGACTTTTAGTAATTTTAGCTTGTTGCAAATATTTTTACCTGGTTTATCGATTTTGCATAAGATGATGATCTTGAAATTGAAACTTGAATACGGTGGGTAAATCTTTGAGGGTTCATACGTTTAACATCATTTTCTGTTTTTTTTTGGTTAATAGTAATGTCTTCCTAGTGTTAACTCATATTTGTGTTTTCTGCTTAATTCTTAATTTTCTTTGATTGGTCCTCAAGTTTTTTTCTCAATATTTTCACTATCTTTTAGTTCAAGTTTTCGTAATGGCCCTTTCTTTACCATATTTAAACATTCGTATACATATAGGGCTGGCGGCCTGATCACTATATTATAGTGACATGAGTTTTACGTTTAAAGATAAGCTTCTGCTTTTGCACAGGTCTTTGCACAGAATGATGGAATGCACCTGCTAACCTTTTTTGACTGTTTGATTTTTATTGTGATATTTTTATATAAGAAGGTGCATTCTTGTTTTGTTTGAATGCTATTTTCAGGTCAGTTTTATATATTATATTTTATATTACTAGTAAGAAGACCAGATCAGCGGCAAAAACTCAGTTTTTGCCGATGATCCATGATTATTTTTGCCACAGATCCTTTCTGTCTGTATTCTATAACTTGACTTTGATAGAGGTAGAGGTCACCTTGTCTGAATCCTGTCTTCTTTCTTCTTTTGGTACCCTACGCGAACGCGAAACAGTTTCGCGGATGTCTCTTGATACCACTCTCGAATATTTCGGAGCCAGGATGTTCTTCTTTGGCCTGGGCCTCTTCTTCCGGCGATCTTCCCCTATATTATGGGTGTAGAAGGTTATATCTCTCTGAATGTCTCATTACATGGCCGAAATATTGTGACTTTCGAATCCTGTACGGATTTCAAATCGATCTGATACTTTACGTCTGAATTTTACTTTGATATGGAATTTTTTAAAGTGGCATCGATTAAGTTGTCATTCTAACTAAGCCATATTCGAAAAGGGTATTCTTTATCGTTTCTCTATCGATTGAATCACAGGCTTTTTGGAAGTGAACAACGCAATAAACTCTTTTGATCTTGATTTAGCATATTTTATGACTGACTTTATATTATGAATTAGTCCTGCACAGGACCTTGATGCTACACCTTGATTCTGACCGAATTGTTAATCGTAAATGGACTCTGCGTTATTCAACAACAGCCTAGATAAGGTGTTGTAGGTTACTGGAAGCAACGATATTCCAGGACAATTGTTTAAATTACTTTTATCTTCTTTTTATGTAATGGATAAATAAGTGATGTTGTCCAATTAGAGGGAAGAGTTTCCGATTCCTAAATATTAAAAATAATGTGAAAAATCTTTAAAAGGGAGACTATTATTAATTATCAAAGACTTTTTGAATGTTTTGTTGAATATCAGTCATTATAAGCCAGTTTTCCCTAAATCGTACCAATATTCTGGAGAAATTTAGGAGATATTGCAGGAATTAGAATTTTAATTGTGAATCGTCTGATAAAGTTTAATACCTGTATATAACTGTATAACTATATACTTTAATAACTATATAATTTATAACTATATAACATAATGGTTAACGTTTTTGAAGACTTTGTTTGAACTAAATCGGGGTAGCACCTAAAAAATAAAAAGAAAATAATTTGGATGTAGAGCCAAAATCCAAAGCACAAGATGACTAGGGAAGCTGTCGCTGGACGTTGGCCAGGAATGACTATAATGGTATACCCGATAATACTGGGTGTAAGATAGGTCTGGCCATTGCGTATCTCCTTTCGACCTAATTCTAATTTTAATTTAACAATTTCATTTATCAATAACATATCGCACATGGTGGAAAGTTCATTCCGGTTATTTGATATATATTTACACAGCTAGTAAATATTTTAAATTCTTACAAACTACAACTAAAGTATCCAATTGCACTGCAATGTTTATTTTGCGCTTAGCAAAAATTCAACTACTAATACGATTGATTTTGCAAAAAAAAATTAAAATATAAATTTCGTTTGCTTACAAATTTTGTTATTTTAGACGATGAAAGCGTTCAACCTAAACCCGCCATCAAGAAAACATCCGAAAACGATCTCTATATGCGTCTTGGACTCCTTCTCGGTGATTCTGCCAAACGATCGAAGAAACAGCAAGAAATAAACCATGAATCTTGCTCATCATTGGCTAGTTACGAGGCTTCCACGATGTTGTCAACAAATACTAGCCCTGTCTCAACATTAACCGGGAGTTCGGAAGACCAGCACCGGACTAATCCTAGCTCAGATAGTGTCGCATCGTTGATGTCACTCTCAATGTCCGGACAGAGTAGCAATTCCAGTCCCCTTAGTAGGAGACACAGTGTTACCAGTAAGTATTTTTTATTATTAAACCCGTTCACTAATAGAAGATTAAGTAATTTATTTCTATCAGAAATAAATTACTTACTAGAAACTAAATTATTTAAGTTAACACTTTGGCTACTGTTAAGTTTTTTTGTCAGAAACTGAAACTATATTTTGGTGAAATACTTGGAAAATTTTGGTTTGATACTAAAAACATGTAAGCGCAAACATTTGGGTATTTTTTTAAATCATGTGTAAAGGCAGTGTCAAAAAATGGTACACACAGTTTGTGACAGAAATAAACGCGTAATTATCTTCTTAGAAACTGTGCACCATTTTTGGACACAATGTTCATTTTTTTGCGTGACTGTAATGAGTGTCAAAAAGCAGTTGGTACACAAGAACTTCTAACAGCATGCAGTGTTTTAACAGATTTTGTTTCTTTTATAGCAAAGTTACGTCCATTTCTATCATTATATATGTATAAGAAATCAAAAATTTCGGATTGATTTGTGTTTCTCCATTGTCCCAATAAGGTCGTTTTTGTTAATGTTAATGTTTTATTTGTAATTCCTAATATTATTTTCTGTTTAGCATATCTGTTGGTTTTCTTGGCAATAAGTGATAAGATTTCTTTGTCAATAAATAATTTATAAAAATGAATCGGATGATCTCCTTCCCTCTGTGCAAAATAACTTTGGGAGAATCCTGAATTTTCCGTGAAAGTAAATGTCTTCAAATTACCTACAAAATTGTAAACAAAATTCAAAACTATAAAAGTGTTGTCAGGTTCAGAATCGTTATTGAGAGATTCTAGATCAGATTTGAGTTCTACCTCTTGCCCATCACTGTTAATTTCTAAATTAGAGGAAGAAGAACACGAATCTTGATAATTTGTATCATCTATCGAATCATCATTATCTTCACTAATAAAGTCTTACTCAACTTCACTCAAATTCTCCACTATTTCAAGTAGTTCAGGTTCAGCATCACTTAATTTTTTATTTGCCATTTTACTAATTTTAGAAACGTAAACACACAAGAGTAATGTTGTACAAACTAATACAGTGAATCACGCCTGCAAGTCAGTAATATGTCATCTGCTGAAGGAGTCTCAAACTGCTCCGCCAGAATTTAAAAAAATCTGTCATAGTACGGCCATCTGTTGAATAAATCTCAAACTGCTTCGCCAGAATTTAGTTGTAAACTGTAGGAGCCTAGATGCGCATATAAAAGCATCAGAACTGTGTTCACCAAACGTACATACAGCTTGAAACATTACCACTTTATGTGACCAAATTTGGTACACGCAGTTTCTGTAAACATCAACCAGAAATGGTACACGCAGTAGCAAATACAAATACTTGGAAAATTTTGGTGTTAATAGGAAATCTGGCATATGCTCTTAATGTTGATATTGATATAGTTTATGGAATTTTACAGATTTTCACCATTAATTTTCTTTTCTTATAGCACGTGTATACTCGTTTATATCAGGTCTGTACCAAGTATTTCGCTAACATGCTCTTAATTTTCGTTACACAGTTCTTTTGTTTGTTTCGTGTTCTTATCTCACCACATGCTATCCCTCCACAATTTTACATAATATAGTAAATTTTATTGGTTATCCATTTTTTAGCTCATCAACAAAACCACGCCGAAAGTATAAGATACAGAAGACCTGGCGCTAGAATAACAAAAGCCGAAATTGCCAAAACCTCGGCAGATCCGAGGATACGTATTAGGCAATACGGTCCACCTCAACTAACATTTAAGCCCTTATTTTTCGAAGTACCTCTTCAAGAACCCGATCCTCTCTTCATCGGCAGACATTGGTTGATTAAAGAAATAGAAGATGTTATCAGTAAGTATATATTTATTATTATTATAGAGGCTAACACGAGATAATCATTGCTTTTTTCTAAAAAAGAGATCCTCCAATATGTTTTATACACCTTTGTGACAGCTAATATTAAAATATTTTAATATGAACGTTTTTTTTAATAATAAATGTATCATATATAATACTAAACACAGGCGATTTTAATATCGACCTTGTTTAATAATAAATGAATAAATATAAATCAAATATATATGTTTGCTTTTTTTGTATGTAAATGACAATTGCATAGCTAATTTTTAAGTGAATTTAATGACACTACAAAGTAAAAATTCAAAAACAAAATTATCATAATAATTGTTCTAAATTGAATATTTCGTTTCAGATTCTTCAAGTCCCGGTGTTCTGCTGACGGGTAATCCAGGTAGTGGAAAAACTGCCCTCATCCTACAACTAGTTGAATATAGCTGTTTTGGTCGCAGAAAAGAATCACACTATCAGTCTATCCAATCTCCTGAAAGATCTCGTAGTCCCCAAAGTATCTACTTTCAAATCGACTTAATTTCGGAAAAGATTAAAGAGCTTTCCAGCAGTATTGTAGCCTATCACTTCTGCCAAGCTGATAATAACTACACTTGCTCTGTACCTGACTTCATTCATTCTTTAGCAGCTCAGTTATGTCAAGCTCCTCAACTGGTAGCATATCGAGATCATCTGGTGAATGAGTCTGATCTACAAAGTACACTAGCACTGAAGGAGTGCATCGCTAACCCCGACATAGCATTTACTAGAGGCATTTTAGAACCGTTGGCCTGTTTAAAGAGATTGGGGAAGATAGACAACTTCAACTATGTGATACTTATTGACGCATTGTGTGAAGCAGAGTACCACAGACCCGACCATGGTGATACTATAACGACATTCCTCTTGAAACATATCTCAAGCTTTCCTTCTTGGTTGAAAGTTATAACTACTGTTAGAAGCCAACTAGAAGAAGTTACAAAACAACTTCCTTTTACTAGGATCTCCTTAGATAATGTACAGTCTAACGATAGTATTCAAAAAGATTTGGCTGGATACATTAACTTTAGAGTACAGAATAATCAAGCAATACAAAGTAATATAACACTAGCTACTAATGGTAAACCAGAAAGTTCCTCGTTTTCTCAAAATAAATTTGCCCATCATTTGCTCAATGCTAGTCAAGGTTCCTTTTTATTTGTAAAACTAACCTTAGATTTACTAGAAAAAGGTCAATTAGTTGTTAAATCTTCCGGTTACAAAGTTCTTCCAGTAAACCTAGCTGAAATCTACCTCTTACATTTTAACTTAAGATTTCCTACAATACGTTCTTTCGAAAAGGTCACCCACATTCTCAGTGTCTGCCTTGCAGCTCTCTATCCGTTAACCATTCTGGAAATCTACTATTCGGTTAATGCTCTATTAGTCGATAACTTCTTGCCTTGGAGTGAGTTTCTACAGAGATTTAAACTGCTCTCTGGTTTTCTGGTAAAAAGGCTGGATAACACCTACATGTTTTTCCACTCATCATTCAGAGAATGGTTGATTAGAAGGGATGAAAATGATGCCATGAAGTTCCTTTGCGATCTTAGAACCGGACATGCTGGAATCTCATTCAGGTAAGCATAAATTTATATATTTATTAGGTCTTATTAGGATCTGATTATAATTTTCTTTTTGTGTATTCTAGATTATCTCGAGTACAAGCGCCTTTAGATCCAGAAAAAACTTTAGAACTTGGCCACCATATTCTCAAAGCACATGTCTACAGAAATATGTCTTTCCCGAATCTCACGTCACGAGATTTACAAGCAAAATGGGTAGCTGAGAGTTCAGAAAATGTATCTGAAGCAGTATGCCATTTGAGAAATATGTATTGTCCTAATGTTAAGGTATCCAGATTAATGCTCCTGGCTGGAGCTTCACCAAATTATATCACTGATCTCCTGGGTAATGCACCAGTGCTCTGTGTATATGCTAATGAAGGTAAATTGATATAAATAAATATACTTACATATTATCTAACTATTGTTTGAAAGTTTAAAACTTAAAAAATATTATTTGTAGGTATTCTTCCCATGGTGTCATTGCTTCTGGAATTCGGTGCTGATGTTGAGCTCACAAACAGCCAAGGTTGCACAGCTCTTTCTCTGTCGTCAGCTAGAGGTCACTGTGATGTAGTACGACAACTAATAGCAGCTGGTGCCTCACCTGGACACGCTGACACAGGAGGATACTGTCCTTTAGTCCACGCTGCCAGAAATGGATTCCTCAATGTTGTTGGTTATCTCCTGGCATGTGATTGGATAACAAAAAATGAAGAAGATGTACAAATAGCTGTCGCTGCTCAACAGGCTTTGATAGCTGCAGCAGGACAAGGACATAGTGAAATTGTGGAATATTTGTTGGACATGGCAGAAGTTAACATTGATCTGCCTGATTCGATAACTGGTAAGTTACTTTATCGTCAATATTTTAAAATATTGTGTAATAAATACATTTTAATTATAGGTGAAACTGCTTTAACTATTTCTGCTTCAAATGGTTGTCATGGAGTTTGCTCCGTTTTGATCAATAGAGGGGCAAATATTTGCGTCACGAATAAGAAAGACCTGGCACCACTGTTCTTGGCTGTCAAAGAAGGTCATTGGGCTGTGGCTGAAAGACTGATCCAGAATCATGCTGCTATCGAACAATGTGATTCTACTGGAAAATCTCCTTTGATGATTGCTTCGTCAGAAGGACATTTAGGAATTATCGAACTTCTACTTGACAGAGGTAAGCCTTTTTGTCAATATTGTAATACATTTTGCTTCTCATTGTTGAAACTTTTTTGTAGTTGTTGATAATTATTATACGTCTTTACGTAAAAATAAATTTATACCAATAAATGTTTTAAGATCTCTAAAATATATATTTTTTAAGGTGCTGATATAAATAAAGAAGACAAAGAAGGCCTCGCACCCCTAGCATGGGCTTGCTTAAGAGGAAAACTACAAGTAGCTCAGTGTCTCCTGGAACGAGGTGCAGCCATTAATCATGCCGATAAGTCTGGTCGAATTCCATTAGATCTAGCTGCTTTTCATGGAAATCAAGCATTAGTACAGTTTTTAATTGATCGTGGAGCTACGATTGAACATGTTGACATTAGCGGAATGAGGCCATTAGATCGAGCTATTGGTTGTAGAAATGTTCAAGTTATTCACTGTTTTCTAAAGAAGGGTGCAAAATTGGGACCTGCAACGTGGAGTATGGCACATGGAAAACCAGATATAATGTAAGATTTTTGTTTATCTCTTCGTTTCCCTAATCGTTCCCTAAATAAATCGTCTCCATCATGTGGGTTATGTTAAACTTTTTTATTCGTGTACTTTTCCAATTCTTTTAATTATTTTCCATATGCTTATTTAAAAATAGAACACATTTTCAACTACTTGAAAATTAATTTTAATAGAACTAATTTTTTTTGGCATTGTTCGAGATTTTAAATGTGTACGGTAATTTTTCAGGTTAATTCTTTTAAACAAGTTGCTCGAAGATGGTAATATTCTATATCGTAAGAGCAGGCTAAAGGAAGCAGCCCATCGATACCAATATGCCCTAAAGAAGTTCCCAACTGAAGACCAAGATGAACATAATAAAACCTTCAAACAACTTAAGATAAACTTTTTGTTGAATTTCTCTAGATGCAAAAGGAAATTAGGAGTAAGTATATATTTCATTTATTTATCTATAATTTATTTATATACCTATTATATGGGACGATGTAAAACATTGTCTTTTGGTTCCATACATATTTACTCAACATTATCTTCAATATACCGGGTGGTGAATCGTCAAACGGGCCATAGGAAACTCAATGAGAAATTTTAAATTGTTGAATTGCTGCTTCCCTAATTATTTTAGATCAAAAGTCATAAAAAACTATTTGTAGAGGACTAAAATCTGAATTAAAAACAAATGTTAAAACCGTTCTACGAATCAAATGTACTTCAAAATTTTGCAAAAATATAATACATTTTTCAGGCCACCCCTAAAAGTTAGGCCACACGTAATGCAAGAATATATATTAGAACGTGTGTGTTTTATCATATTGATGTCAGATATTTGACAATTTGAATTGTCAATTTTTTTTATTTTATGATTAAATTATAAACAATGAATTTTACTAAATACTACTACTAATGAACATTATTACTTTGTGAACAATAAATTATATTGTTTACAAATCGATCAATATAATGAAATGTACTCAGTTGACGAAAAATCGCATAATGTTGTATTCAGGCAATAGCGAACCTTTTCCTGCCACTACCGGATCTTTATTTAACGTAAGATATTCTAATTCACTAAAATTTAATTCCATGTTTAAGTTATACAACAATTCAATGAATTCCAATATACTGTTACTGTGATCTTTATTCCTAATAATAATATATGATAATTTCTAAACATAAAACTATAACAAATGTTATAATAAAACATGAATAAAACATTTTTATTATTGCTTTTTTCTCCTCAACTGAGTACATTTTTTAATCAACTTAATTTTTTTTAACAATAAATCACAAAATTTTGGCCATTTAAATCATAGATAAATATAATATAATTGATTTAAATATTGTCAAATATCAGAAACAATAATATGACAAAACGCAACACGTAATACATTTTTTCACAGAAAAATGTATTATATTTTAGCAAAATTTTGGAATACGTTTAAGTCGTAGAATAATTTTAACAGTTGTTTTCGATACATATTTGAGTCCTCTACAAATAGTTTCCCATGACTTTTGGTGTAAAATAATTAGGGAAGCAGGAATTTAACAATTTAGAATTTCCCATTGAGTTTCCTATGGCCCGTTTGACGATTCACCACCCTGTATAACCCTTCTCTATCCCTACAACGCTCCATATAAATATTTCATTGTTGAAGACAGTGCTAGAAGTGTTCTGGTGTCAGCTTCTTCAGAAAGCGTGCTGTTCTCTCTTTAACAGCTTCAACGGATTCAAGTAGTGTTTCTTTTAATGAAGATTTCATTATAGAAAACACACACGGTGCAAGACCCAGCTAATAGAGGATGGTCCTACACAGATGGGAGGATGGAATGCTATATTAGTCTGGGGAAACCCCTTGAGACACAAATGGCAAATGTTACAACATTTGCGGATTGTTTGTGTTTTTAAATTAAATAAAATTTTTCGTACGCATAGTTTCAGAAGTCATACGAATACTTTTACCGGTGTCACGCGGAATCAGATTACTGATTTTTTCGATGTTGCCATTCGTTTGTGTTGTATAACTGCGACTCGGACATTAATCATCTTCACCGTCTTCTTGACAATTATGAAAACGCTTAAATCACTTAAAGACACATGTACGCGATAAACATTCATTGTCATAGACTTCTTTCAATAAGTTTTATGTAAAATTTTACTTTTGCATCTTTTTGTATGAAAACGAGAATTACTGCATTCGAAAGAAAAGGCTTAGTGGGATAGTTATCCGTCGTTGGCGTTTTGCGTTATTTAGTAGCAACACTCCATATTTATATATTATTATTAGACCATTCAATACTATAACTCCTCCTTGGCAAACCCGCGTCTTGGGACTTCAATCTTGAAAAACTCACTACATTTGGAATGTTCCTATTTCTTCTCTTTAGATTGTTCTTTTGTTTTAAATTATTATGAAAATTAGTTAACAACTTATAACGTTTTATTTCAGTTCTAATAATAATAAGAAGAGAACTAAGAAAAGAAAACAAATTTACAGATGAATTGCCCTACTGGATTCTCTATAAAAGAAATTAGCCAAATGTAAAAAATAAAAATATATCAGTTGGCAAAACATATAATAGATCTTCTTCTTCTTCCTCAGCTTTTTTCTTTTCAGGAATTGCTCCTGATTCTTCTTCACCTTCGCCATTCATTGGTGTCGAGCCTTCTTCATTTTAATTTTTCTTTCTCAAGTCCTCTGCCACAGAGTCCTTCCATCTTCTCGTGGTTTTTCCTGTTCTTCTCTTTCCCTCAATTTCTCACAACTCTATTTTTCATGCCACATAGTTCTTATTTTTACGTCTGACGTGACTAAACTATTGCAGTTTTTGTTCTTGAATCTTTTTTGCGACTGTAGGACAATCAAATCGTTCCTGATCTTGTCCCTTCTAGTCTTACCCAACATCCACCCTAAAATTTTTATTTTGGCTAACCCCATCTTCTTTTTCTGACCTCTCTTTACAGACCACATTTCACCGCTGTACACAGGCCTCACCACACTCTTATATATCTTTCCTTTCAGCTCTTCCCCAATTTTTCGATCACAGAGTATCCCGCTCATTTGCTTTCAATTAAATTAACCAGCCTGTACGCTCTTTTGCGTTATATCGGAGCCAAGGTATTTAAATTTTCCTACTCGTGTTAGTTTTTCCCCAAGCTATTTGATGTCTCCACTCATTCCTGTTTATTTCTCACTCTTTAATTGCTCTTCTCTAACCCTTCAACTTCTCCAGCATTTCTTTGCTCTCCTGCACTAACACGATATTATCCACAAATAAGATTGACCAAGGTCATCCATCCATCCATCCATATCACATCCATAACAAGATTAAACAAGTAGATACTCAGTGAAGAGCCTTTATGCAAACCAACCGTCACTGGAAAACTTTCGGTCAATCCGACATAAGTCCTTACTTTAGCGTACGCTCTCTCATATATATCCTTCACAATCCTTTATACATATCTCTCTCGTACATCTCCACGCTCTGGTCTAGAAACTGTCATACGCTTTCTCAAGATCTATAAATACCAAATTTAGCTCTCTTTTCTTCTCGGTGTATTTTTCTAGCAACTGTCTCAAACAAAATAAGGCATCCGTTGTCCTCCTTCCTTGCATAAACCCAAACTGTTCTCCTATCGATGTCTCTCCTCTTTAACCTTTGCCCTACAGTTCTCTCCCAAACGTTCATGGCGTACAATAACTTTATTCCTCTATAGTTTTTACAGTCCTAAATGTCTCCTTTATCCTTATACAGTGGTACCATAACGCGCTCCCTCCATGCATTGGTCATTACTTTCGTTCCTTATCATTATATTATCAACCTCTAACACAGGAGTATTATATGTATATCATAGGAGAGTTATCGATATGGTTTTCGAAAAGGAAAATCATTAGCTGAATATAAGATTCTCATCCATGCGGTCTAAAAGCATTTTTAATTTGTGTGTAGAATTGATAGAAAAGGTTAAATTATACAGAGCGAGGAATGCCCCGCTCATACGAATTTATAAGAACTAGAAGCTTTAAGATGATTTGCTCTTTTTATCTCATTAAAATTATTTGCAATCTGCGCTTTAATATAAATTCTAGACGTCGAATACTTGAATATTATCTGCTGTATGGAGTGGAAGCGAAGACCCTAACAGAAACATCTGGACTGGTCATCATTAGAAATATTCAGACCCACTATAAATAAATTTATGTAGACCAGAATGGTTGCCAACTTCCATTGAGGTTATGGTATTGGAAGAAAAATCATCTGTTAGTAGATCTATTGTAACTAAACTTCTTACTCATAAATTATTTATAAAATAATGTAATCATTGCATTGCCCTATAACTTTATTGTTTTTCACTTTTTTATTATTATATTTTAGTAATTATTATATTTTATTTATTTTCCAGGAATCTCAAGAAGCCATTGAATTGGCAAATCTCGTTATAGAATTAAAACCAGAATCCTATGAAGCTTACTACGCCAGAGCGAAAGCTAAATTGGATCAAAACAAATACGAAAGTGCCTTACATGACGTCAAAGAAGCTCAAAAAAGAGCTCCGCCCCAAGGGAGCGAAATAAAAATTTTGAACTACTTGTTAGAGGATATTACTACAAGGATGTCCTCCAGTAGAAGCTTGTCGAATAGAAGAAATGTCGCTATATCTGTAGATACTTTACACGAATAGAAATGTTGTCTTTTTAAGATATTTTACAAAATAATGATATGTCTTTTAGATACCCACGGGGATTACAAACTAAAAGGAATTAATTTTTTCTTCTTTCTTTAAATTTAAAAGTAGGAAGCGCTAGTTCAATACCCTATAGTGTCCTATAGTAGTATAATCTAAAGACAATACTTAAATTCTTGATTGAAATAAGAAGCGTTCCTAAAGTGTATATTTTGACTGCAAATTTGCCGTGTGTTGAAAAAATTGAACCAAAACCTCATATTTATGTTAAATCATATGGGATTTTGGTTCTTATTTAAACTTTGTACAATTAATACTACTGACTCAACCAGGGCTTATTAATATATACAACTATTTTGACCGATACACGGTTGTTTTGTTTTCGCACTAGAAATTAAAAAAAGATTTATCATGATTGAATTTAAATATTGTTTATCTACGTTGTGTGGGAATATTTCCCTGTAGGTATCTAAAAGAAAAAGGTATGTTATCTCTTAGGAAAAGTTCTGTGTTCTTGTTTTAGACTGTGTGGAAAAGAAAGACTTAAAAGCTTAAATTAAATTATTGTTAATATTTTCATAATTTGCCTTAACAGGTTTTGTAAATACAAACCATAGAATAATTTATTTTGTAATAATCATATTGTTTGTTGTGAAATTTCAAGTCATCCCATTAGTATTTTATTATTTTCCATTCCATGTTTATTAATTTATTCAATTTTTTACTCGCAATGTACAGTTTTAAATAAATTTTCATGAAAAATATGTTCAAACAATATGTTTTGCGTATTTTAACACAAAAGTCGAAATTCCGTGAATGTATTTGATTTGTTTTAATGTTTGACTGTTAAAAAATTATGTTTGCACAAATTTGAGAGGCTTTGTAATTACAATTCCAGCGAATTCAAAGCTTTTATATAAACTAGAGTATTTAATTTCATCATTGAATTATTCTGTTTGTTCATTATAGTCCAGTCAAAAAGTATATTTTATATCACATTTATATCGCTATCTACAATCGATATCAATTTTCCAGCTTTACTGGCTTTCTAAGCCAGCATCGCGTGTGTTCGATTATCGGCACCAACAACGACATTTTTATTTCTGTAACTGATAACAAGCCATCCCCGTGTTTCGGAGGGCACCTAAAGCCGTCGTCCATCCTATATTGGACTAATGTGCATCGACACTAATTATCTGAAATGCCATACTATTAATATTATTAATTTTAAATAAGTGTCCTGTTTAGTCCAAAACATTTAATGACATTGAAAAGAAAAAAAGGTTTTAAATACTGTTAAAAATAATATAGAATTTACTCCCGCTAAAGAGCTTGTTATTTTCCTTAAATTGTTATACATAAAAAAATAGAAAATGTCCTTTGCGTAAATTGTATCGTTAAAGATCAAGTTACTCAGTTTTTTTGAAAATTCCGATTGACTAATAAAATTTCTACTTTGCTATAAGTGAGATGAATTTATATATGGTTATCTTTGGAAGAGATAGAGTGTAAAATATAAGCATGGAATCTACTTGGTCACATTTTTCCTATGTTCTTTCTTGAAAATTTGTCTCGATTGTCTACATTCGTCATCTTTTCAGTATCGGAAATATCTGACAGTTCATATAAATTGTTTTATTATTCTTGGTAATACCTGTAATATTTAACTATTATTTACATTCAAAAAGTAGATTTTCCTTATGCCTACCCTGTCTCCTCTGTCAGATGACAGAGGAGACAGGGTAGGCATAAGGTGAAGTGTCACGGTGTCTATTGATCATTCGGTTAAGCTTTATTTACACCATGCGTTAGCAGCAACCGCATACGTTACATTACTTTCCACTTAGTTACCGACCAAGGTTCAGGCAACAGCTAAAGGTTTAACTGTTCAGGAGCCTTACTGGCTCATTGAGATCTACGCAACACTGGTAAAGATAGCTCTGTCACTAGAAATAGAACCTTATTCTTAACCTATATGTAGAGGTAATAGGATTTTTTTCCATATCTTTACGGGAAAAGAAGCTGTTTTATGTTAAGAGATGACTTTTCCCTAGGTTCTTGATCCCCATATTCCATATCTAACTCTCCCTTCTGAAGTCATTACTAAATATGAGTTGATTCCAGCTGAATTTAATACTTTTGGTTGCTACAGCCCCTTTGCAATTACAATTAAAATATTACTAATTTCTCGCTGGATATATATCTGAGCTACATCGACAACTTCTACGTATATGTCTCTTTTGCCGCCACTTTGAATTATTTTATCCTCTACTTGGACTGTATATATAATTTTTTTTTCATTAGACATGCCTGGTGATGATTTCAACTGATGTAAATTATTTTTGTGATAAATTATTTTCGACTGAGCCATTGACATTTCTTAGTTGGGCACTTCCTTGCAGGTTTCTTCAAGTTTTAATAAATTGTCCTTCGTTAGCAATCTCTGTACTGAAGATTATTTTTTACAGGGCTTTAGTAATTGAGTGCTTCCTTGTAGGCTCTTTCAAATTCTAACGAATTGTCCTCGTTAGCAATATCGGTACCACTGACTTACATCGTGGACCACGAACAAAATGGTCTCGAAGTCCCGATAATCATACGTTTTTGACCAACTCTTTAATTGTGCCGTTAAATATTCAGATATAGTCTCCTCTTCTCCGTTTTTTGATTCCTACTATTGAATCGCTACCTTTCTGCGATTATTGACACATGTGGAGTAAAATATTTCTCCAATACTGTGACCTTATCCTTATACGACTTAGGTTTCCTGACCGCATAAGGCTTTTTAGTAACTTGACCAATCAATGTTATAAGTAGTGGACCTTTTTCTATCTTCTCTGTTTTATTAACTTTCATTTGACTCAAATTCCCCCTTATTCATATTGAAATGTTTAATAGATCAATAAAAGGCTGCATGGTTGTTTTCTTGTTAACTTCTTTATGGTAGACTGCTCCCTCGTTACCATATAATTCTTTGAAAAATGTCACGGTGTCTATTCTGTCATTTGGTTAAGCCGTATTTATTTACACCATGCGTTAGTAGTAACCGTTTACATTACAGCATAAAAAAGTCATTATTTAGTTTGCGTTAATGTATTACCGACTATAACGTAGCGAAGAGTTACTGAATTGCACAAAAACCTAGAAGTTATCTCATTTTACTTGTTGGGAATTTGTTGGATGATGAAATTATTAAGGACTCACGTCTAACTTCTGTTCTCAATATTCATGTGCTTGAACTATGTATAGCTTTATATTCAATTTTCTTTAACTTAAAATTAATGATTATTAAGAATAATTTATTTGTTTATAAAATGTGTATTTGTATGTGCAATCTATAATGTATTTTTTTGTATACCAGGAAAATAATCAAGGCAAATATTGCGACTAGATAATTTTTCAACCGCTTATGAAAACAAGATAAACAATAAAATAAACGGACCAATAAAATCTTTATTGTCGTTTGGTCATTCAAATCGGAAACAGTCATCAAAATGTATAAGATTGGTCTGGTTTTAATAAAGATTTTGTTTTATATGTCACCGATAAAAATTTTTGGAAGATGATTTGGACAGGATTAATGAATGAACACACAGGAAGTTTTTATCTTTTGTGTTAAAATACATTTTGCAATAGGTTAGATGTTTGTGAATGTGATTTATTTAATAATGGATTTATATCATACTTTTAATTTATTATGAATTTCTTTAAGGCAATTTTTTCTATCAAAAAATGTCAACGACACATTCTATCTTCCCCATTTTTGTATTTTGAATCAATGTTTTTAATGCAAGCTTGTTTCATATTACACTATATTTATTCATCTAATATTTTTTTTTTTTCAGTTTTGATCTTTATCTTTATCGTTGAAATACATAAGAGGCCGCAAAATATACGATACGTCAGTTGCTCATCCTAAAAGTGTAAATTGTAGATCTCAGGTTACGTAACTTGGTTCGTACTTAGTTTTCTTCAGTCATTTTTTACTCCATTGTATTGGTTTATAAATATTAAAATTGTGCTGAAAACAGTGTTAAAAATTTTACATTTTTAGTTAGTATTTTAATCCATTGAGCAACTAAAAACAAAAATCAGTTTCTCTCATAAATGTCAGTTTACTAAAATTCTATATTTCAATCTAGGTATTATTTTTCCTTAAGGCTTTCTAAAATTTATATTTCCTGCACAGTATTGTTCATTGTATTCTTCTTCTTCTTCTATTTTTCTTCCCCTTTTTCCTTCGATGTTACCCTTCATAATCAGCTGCAACAACTCGTACTTATCATTTCTAAGTATGTGCCCCAAATATGCTGTGTTTCGCCTTTTAATGGTGGTCAAAAGTTATCTCTCTTCACATTCTGTTCAACACCATTTCGTTATATGATCGGTCCATGGTATCTTCAAAATTCCCCTAAAAAGCCACATCTCAAAAGCTTCCAGTTTTTTCATTAAGTCAACATTAAAAGTCCAGACTTCGACACCATAAAGAAGAATAAAGTGGATATAACAATTTACCATCCGATATCGGATTTGCAGATTGAGTCTTTGGTTAGTACTCAGAAATTTCCTCATCTTCAAAAAGGCTGCTTTTGATTGCTCTATTCTTGAGCGAATTTCTGATTTCGGATTCAGATCTTCCGTAATCCAGACTCCTAAGTATTTCATTTTGTTCATTTTTTTATGTTTATTGTTAAACCAAACTGTTCCCCAGTATCACAAATTGTGTTTAGTAACGTCTGTAGGTCTGTCTCACTTTCAGCGATAATGACTGATTTTTCTTGATTCCTTCTGTACGTTTCAAGTGCTTGCGTAAATAACTCTTCGGAATATAAATTAAATATTAATGGTGGAAGTACACAGCTCTGTCTCACTCCTCTACTTATCTGTTGCGCATCTGTGCTATTTCCATCTGATGTTACCACAGCCTGTTGGTTCCAATAGAGATTTCTCACTATGTTAATGTCATTTTTGTCGAGTCCTTTTCTCTTTAGACATTCCATGAGAATGTTGTTTAACTTTGTCGAAAGCTTTCTCATAGTCTATAAACGAAAAGATATTTTTGTTGGTCTCGACATTTTTGGGTAAGAGTTGTGAAACTATACAGAGCTTCCACTGTTCCGAAGCCGTTACGAAAGCCAAACTGTCTATTACTCATACCCGCTTCGCACTTTTTACATCTTCTTGCAGTTCATTCTATCGAATATTAGAAATCA